CCTGCATCACATAATAGAACCAGTTGTTCAAGTATTTGAATCTTACCACTGAATGAAGTACAGGTAGTCCTCAACTTATGACCACAACTGAGCCCCAAATTTTTGTTGCTAAGTGAGACATTTATTATATGAGTTTGCCTCATTTATGACCTTTCTTGACACAGTTGTTAAGTGAATTACGGAAGTTATCAAGTTAGTAATACGGTTGTTGAGTGAACCTGGCTTCCTCATTAACTTTGATTTTCAGAAGGTTGCAAAAGATGACCACATGACCTCGTGACACTGCAACCGTCATAAATATGAAGTAGTTGCCAAGCATCTGAATTTTGATCATGTGACCATAGGGATGTTGCAACGGCTGTGTGAAAAATAACCATAATTCTCTTTTTTTTCTGTGTCATTGTAACTTTGACTGGTCACTAAAAGAACTGTTGTAAGCCGACTCTGCTAGAGAGAAGTTCCCTGAGGACGGGCTCCAGCATGAGTCTAAAAGCTTGGAAGACTAAACCTCTGGTCCCGGTGACTGACCTATATTGTATCTTGGTTGTAAGTCGAGCACTGCATGTATATTATGCTAATACATTGCTCATCAGTGTGTAAGTTGCCCGGGGCTGGTCTTAGTCATGTTATCTGGAGTGAGTTTGAGCCTGTGACCCCTGATGAAGTGGACAAGGCTGTGAGGGCAATGAATGCCGCCACCTGTTTATTGGACCCATGCCCCTCCTGGCTGGTTTCTGCCAGTAGGGAGGTGACACGAGGCTGGCTCCAGGCAATAATCAATGCCTCCTTGATGGAGGGGTCTTTCCCGCAACCTTTAAAGGAAGCGGTGGTGAGGCCCATCCTCAAGAAGCCTTCCCTGGACCCAGCTGTTTTGAAGAACTTTCGTCCTGTCTCCAACCTCCCCTTTGTGGGGAAGGTTGTAGAGAAGGTGGTGGCGTCCCAACTCTTGCGATTCTTGGATGAAACAAATTATCTGGACCCTTTTCAATCTGGCTTCAGGCCCGGCTACAGCACTGAGACTGTTTTGGTCACACTGACCGATGACCTCTGGCGAGCCCGGGATAGGGGTCACTCCTCTATCCTGGTGCTTCTTGACCTCTCAGCGGCTTTCGATACCATTGACTATGGTATCCTTCTGCGTCGTCTTGGAGAGGTGGGGGTGGGCGGCACCGTATTGTGGTGGTTCTCCTCCTACCTCTCTGACAGGTCGCAGTCGGTGCTGGCGGGCGGACAGAGATCGACCCCCTAGGCGCCTCGATCATGGGGTGCCTCAGGGCTCGGTCCTGTCCTCCCTCCTTTTTAACATCTACATGAAACCGCTGGGTGAGATCATTCGGCGACACTGGGTGAGGTATCATCAGTACGTGGATGATACCCAATTATATATCTCCACCCCGTGTCCTTTCAGTAAAGCAGTTGATGTGATGTGCCGGTGCCTGGAAGATGTGAGGGTCTGGATGGGGGTGAACAGGCTTAGACTCAACCCTGACAAGACCGAGTGGCTCTGGGTCTTGCCTCCCAAAGGTCAACTGGATGGTCCATCATTAGTCCTGGGGGGGGGGCAAATTTACCTCCCTCAGTGCAGGCACGCAACTTGGGTGTCCTCCTGGACTCACAGCTAAATTTGGAACAACATCTATCGGCTGTGGCCAGGGGGACCTTTGCCTAGGTTCGCCTGGTGCACCAGTTGCGGCCTTATCTGGACCGAGAGGCTTTACTCACAGTCACTCATGCCCTCGTCACCTCAAGACTGGATTACTGTAATGCGCTCTACATGGGGCTACCCTTGAAGAGCGTTTGGAGGCTGCAGTTGGTTCAGAATGCAGCCGCGAGAGCGATTGTGGGTGCGCCAAGGTACGCCCACGTGTCATCTATCCTCCGCAAGCTGCACTGGCTTCCTGTGGGTCTCCGGACGCAATTCAAGGTGTTGGTTATCACCTTTAAAGCCCTTCATGGCATAGGGCCAGGTTACTTACAGGACCGCATACTGCTGCACAGTTCCCAGAGACCAGTGAGGTCCCATAGATTGGGCCTCCTTCAGGTCCCGTCGGCCAGACAATGTCGGCTGGCGGGCCCTCGGGGAAGGGCCTTTTCTGTGGTGGCTCCGACCTTGTGGAATCAACTTCCCCCCGAGGTTTGAACAACTCCCACCCTGCCGGCCTTTAAGAAAGCCATTAAAACTCTCCTGTTCTGGCAGGCCTGGGGCTGATGTCCCCGGGGGGGGGGCGGGACATGATCGGACTTGCGGTATGATTGAATTATTTTATTGTTTTATTCTCGATGATTGTTTTAATTTTGTACGCCGCCCTGAGTCCTTTGGGATTGGGCGGCATATAAATAAATAAAATAAAATAAATAAATAATAACTAAATTATGCCAAGAAGTTTTTTTTATTTTTATTTTGAATTGAAAAATGCACTGTCCACTTTTTCAATTTGAGAGGCACAACAGGCGTATCCATGGGGGGAGTTCCAAACAGTCAAGATGCAACTATGCAATCACATGCGCAATTCATGTACGAAGGGGCAGCATTTCAATCGCACAGTTCTGACCATCATCTTGATGGTTCTGGGCTACTGTGAAGTATAGCCTGTGGAGGCTATGTAAGACTAAAAAGAACACTTTTCATCTCATCAATGTAACGAGAAAGGATCAAATACCATACCCAGACACTTGCCTTCTCACCTCCCAGAAAAATGTCACGATTTCCAGTGAAAATGTCACCATCCAGTATGGAGGTAAATGGAAATGATTCAGAAACACAAACTTTTTTAGGCTGGAGAGCAACCCAGCATTCAAATTTTGGTGAAAGGAGCCCTCATGCTACAGTGATTATAATGTAATATTACAGGCTAACTCTGCCCACAGCCTGGAGTTCGATCCTGACAGGACTCAAGGTTGAGTCAGGCTTCCATCCTTCCAAGGTTAGTAATATGAGGACCCAGATTGTTGGGGACCATATGCAAATAATGCTGACAACTGCCCAGGGAATGCTATAAAGCACTATGGAGTGCTATATAAGCCTAAATCCTATCGCTAGTGCTATTGCTACTGTTAGGGATAACATTTTCTACTATGGCATTAAACTTTTTCCCAGTCTAAAAGGGCGATTGTGTAAACGCTTGGAGAAGGTTTAGCTTGAAAAGCAGTGTGGGCATCTTATACAAACCATTATGCAGTAGCCCTGAGTGATAAGTGGCTATTGTCTTAGGTATTTCATCCTGAGGGATCTGCTTGTTTCCACTTTATTCCTATAACTTCACTAGCCAAATATTTATGCTTATCCGTCAGTGAGAGATGGTGGATGAATTTGTTTATTTTTATCCTTCCCTTATCGGCCAGTTTTAACTGGTTCCTAATTATTTCTTTGTTTTTTTAATCTGTCTTCCAGTCATTCTATTTCTCAGACTAAATTAATGATAGGATTATTACATACTGTAGCTGTTCATAAACTTCACCAACATACAAGATAATGTGCAGCTGCTTCCATACAATAAAGCTTAATTAGATGTATTAGAAAAAAATTCTGTAAAATCCAATCTGAAGGATCCTTTCTGAATTATTTCTAGCTAAACCTTTGAAGAATTTGATTAGTGCATGATTTTGCTTTTCCTAGTTTTCTAGCATCCCTTTTTCCTCCTTTTGTATCATGTCACTTTAGGGACGCTGGGGAAGGACTGCTTTCTTATTGAAAACTTTTCTGGGATCTTTTTTGACAAAAAATATAAGCTTATACAAGCCACATATCTGTTTGAGTCTTAGATGAAACATTTGGGATTTGAGTGGTGAGATTGCTTATTTTGGTATTTATTTTTGTACATATCTGGTCCAGCTTTTGGAAGTGTCCTTACTGTGGTGGTCTTCAGATTCCTTGACCTATGGTTCCCTTTTATCCAGCTTTTATTGTACAAGACTTGTAGACTAACAAAGCTGGACAGTACTAGCCTAATAAATTTGTGTTTATTTAAGTACCTTAACACATAGCTTTAGCTAAATTTTAAACAATTGTTAGCCTATTGTCTGGGCTAGACAAAGCAGGTTGGATGGACAAATTAGAAAGAGCTTTGTGGAAAAAAAAATTTAGGAAACATAACAGCTAGGATATTTGGTTGTCATGAAAAGCAAAGCAATATATTATGAGAAATTTTTTTGTATGCCCAACTCAATGGTGGGATTCAGCCAATTTGCACCACTTCAGCAGAACCAGTAGCTAATTTTTTGTTGTCCAAGCCTAGAATAGATTTCCAGAAGCAGCATCCACACAGAGAACTGGTTGTTCACATATTTGAATCCCACCACAACTCCATAAGAGGTCCGGGCTGGGCAGATTTCTAACATAATTTTCTCATGCTTTGGAGAACAACTAGGATGTCTGTACCTGTGTAAAAAACTGAGGCTGTTAAGATTGTTTTTATATTACAAAGTCTAGAGTGAATCATGGTCCTTGGCATTTAAAATTGAATACAACATGAAGGGAATGTACAGGTCAAAACCAAACTAAATTGTAACCCTTTAAAGAGGGGACTGACTTATTCTCTAGGGCACCAGATGGCAAGACAAGAAGTAATGGGTGGAAGTTTGTCAAGGAGAGATCCATCCTAGAAGAAGGAGAAATTTTCTGATAATGAGAGCAATTAATCAACGGAATAGCTTGCCTCCTGGGGTTGTGGGTGCTCTGGAGGTTTTCAAAAAATACACTGGAGAACCATTTGACTGGGATGGTATAAGGCTCCTGCCCTAAACAAGTGGTTGGACTAGAAAACCTCTGAGGTCCCTTCCAGCCCTATGATTCTATGAAGTCCCAATTTGATCCAATTACTTTCATGCTAAATTAGGATTTTTAAAGATCTATTTGGCAGAAAGATATCATATATAGGAGGAATGGGCTGCTGTCCTACCTAACTGTCTCATGCTATTTGCTAAAGGGTTATATTTTAGACCCTTTCCACCCTGCTGAGTTAACAGTTATCCCTTCTTTTTGAAGTGGCAAAAAATTATACCTGAATAAAATGGGCTGTCCTCATTGCCAATCCTTATTGTCCTTTTGGTCCCCTTCATAGCTGAATGGTGCTTCCAGATTATACCTGTATAGAGCATGTACTCTATTCAGCAAACTCACTGGACAGTTCCTTTGTATTTGCTACATTCCATGTGATCAACTGGCAGAGAAACACCCCCCATCACCGCCCTCCACCCTCCAGCCACAACATTGCAGCAGGAATGAAGCAGGCTTGGCTGCAGAAGTCTGCCAACTCTAGGCTCTTAATATGCCTCCCATACGTTTTGTCCTGGTCCAAGATAAGCAAAGATAAAACATAAAAGAATGTGGAGCCATGAGGAGAGGTGAGTCAGAAGTAGCATTTATTTAGGATTTTGTCTTCCTTCCCTTCCCTTCCCCTTCCCCTTCCCCTTCCCCTTCCCCCTCCCTTCCCTTCCCTTCCCTTCCCCTTCCCCCTCCCCTCCCTTCCCCTCCCTTCCCTTTCCCTTCCCTTCCCCTTCCCCTTCCCCTTTCCCTTTCCCTTCCCTTCATATAGAACAAATGCCAATTTCCAAATTCTTACATGCACTATTCAAGAGGCAGGGAAAGAATTGATCTGGTCAATCTGCTGTTAGTCTAGTCCAGCCTTGCACTGAAATAAAACACAGTACTGCTAGGGGAGTGGTTTAGTACTATTGTGTAGTTTTGATAGACTACTGTCTAGGATTGCTATGTTCAGTTCTCCAGGGAGACCATAGTAGAATGCAGCAGACAAGTTAACCAGGGATTGGAAAGGCAACACACCATTTCTGATCCCCACTGGTCACCCACCAGTTTCATGTGGTCATTCAAGAGAAGAGCCATTTGAGCAAAGGACTCTGTGCAGTAATACCTTTCCCATGAAACATCAGGCCTATAAAAGTTCTGCCTCATGAGATCACTTAACTACTTAAAGAGTATTGATGCTTGGTTCAAGCAAGTGAAGCAAAGTTGTATCAATACCTTTTTGTAGTTAAATAATTAATTTTGTGAAGTGGAACTTCTGTAGGTCTGGTGTTTCATGTGAAGGCTATCACTGTATGGAGTCCTTTGTGCAGCTAGTTTTTCTCTTGAAACACCACATAAAACTGGACTAGAGATCTCCATAGATTGTTATGGACCAGATTTGTCAAAGGACGCTGCTTTAGCCTAAATCAAATGAGCATGAAGGCCTGTATCTGAGAAAATATTTTCTATACAGACATCCTTTGTTTGTGTTTTAAGGTTTTATTGGAAATTCAAATATTTTAAAATGGCAGCTCTGCTCTAGCAAATACAATGCAATCTAAATTCAATTCAGTATTAAGCCTTCCAAAAAGTGTGCTTCCTTTCTCTTTTTTTATGTTTATAAAGAAGACTGTTTACTAGCATATGTATTTTAAAAGCTACTGTAAAATAAATGAATTCAGCATAAAGTAGGCAGAATCTCTTTAGCAGTATATAATAATGGAGAAAGCATGGCACTTAGTTTATAATCTTTGATCTAAGATGAGTACATTATTAATAAATAAGAGTTCTTGTTTTCCTCTGTGAAATGTTGGGTGGCATGGTTTCAGGTGTCAGGAGAGAAAACCTAGCTTATATGCAGATGAACACTAGGACAAATGGTTTCCATGGAAGTAGAAGAGATAACGTTAAATGCTAAAAATTAAATATGGCTGACGTTAGAGAGGGGAAAGGATTTGATTTAAATAACCTAACACAATTATTATAGAATATGCAGATCAGAACTTCTTATTCTATAGTATGTATCCTTTCCAAAATATGCAATATAGACCTGTTGAAAATTGCATTAAAATGTATTAAATTAAGAAAATCTATGAACAAATATACACAAATTGGGGAAATGCATATATAGAAAAAAGATAGATTATATAGTTTTGTTTTCTAAATGCATGGGTTAAAGTGAATGTGTGTGTGTGTGTGTGTGTGTGTGTATGAATGCATGGGTAGATTTAAAAAATGTAGAAAATGGATGAAACTGAAACAATATACTTCATATACAAGAAATTGTCATGGACCAGATATAGGTTGATTGATCCATCTCTAGGAAGAGCATCAAGGATAATACTGAAATATTCTAACCGGTATAAAAGAGTTTAACATTTTTACATAAGAACATTTACTCATTTACTCATCCATTTAATTAACAAAAAAAGTCATAGACTGTAATTTGAAAAGTTTTTTTCTTAATTATTTACAGTTCAAGATGCGACTGGTGAACTCTGTTTTTAAAACAACTTGTTATGTCAAATCAAAGTAATTATATATGGTTTTACAGTTTACAGTTCTATACAAAGACAGTAATACAAATATGAAAACATAAGTGCTTTTACATATACACTTTTTAATACTGTTTCTATATTGTTGGCATTAGCTTTATCTTACTGTATATAAATAATGTGCACGGGGGAACTGATGAGTATATAGTTAACAGAAGTAAGAAGCAATTTTAATTCAATAAACTTTTTTATGTTAACACATTCGATGTGAGAATTCAGTGATCCTTGGAAACTTTGATAAGTGTATAATTAGTAAGACTGATTTAAAACAACTTTGAGACTGACTCACATTGTATTTTGGCCACACAGTGAAGTCTTTAACAATAACAGTGGGAAATGTTCTTCAGACCATTACAAATGCTCCATATCACAAAGACATATTTGTGGCAAACTATATGATGGTTTACTCATGAATCATCAAACAGGTTAGACAGTTTTGTCAAGGTCATAATGACTCATGCCAATATAGGAAAGGTTAAGATCTGAAATACATCACTGATATGCTTCCTCTTTGGGGATAAAGGGTCTCTAAACCATTGGACTGGTTAAAAAAAAGGACCCTCTTATCTGAGACATAGAAAAGTCACTGCCATTTAGAGAGGCAGCATTGATTTGACTTGAGAAGTTGACATGTTAAGAAATGACAAGAGAGAGCAAGATTAAAGTAATATAAAATATGCAGTTGAAACCATTGAGTATATTGGCGTCATTTTAAATATTTTTTCCTGTTGTCTGGTGCAAATTAAAAATCATAGAAATTTCCAAATTGGAACCAGGAACCAGAAAAGGAATGTAGAATGCATTAAGTTTAATCAGTGCAATGAAGCATGGTCATGCACATAGAGTGAGCATATTTTTAAAGTGTGAACAAGGAACCAGTATGCAGTAATTTTTACACCACTGGGATAACACTGATAATACAACCTATGGCAGCCGTATATCTGAGGCTGGTTTCTGCTTGCACCAAGAATACATATTGAGAGAGGTATCACATCATTTGCAAAAACTTTACCATTGCTTGCATTTTGGTTCTAAAATATATTTTTATACTCCACACTGCACAATATTTCCTTTATTCCATTATGAATGAAATGCTTACTTCTAAATACAATATTTATTGGGTATTTACTGTATTTAGGAATTGCTGAAGAACGGTCATTTAGCTTTTCCTCCCTTTTGTTTATATTGAGCTCTTGTATGCAATATCTAAAGGTTACCTGAGCATAAATTTTTTAAAAAATCAATTGCAGATATAATGTCAAGCTGAGAAGGTATCCACATGAGCCAGCCTGAGAAATCTGGGTATTAGAATCAGAAGATAACTGGACAACAGCAGATTGAAAATTATAGCAGGTGATGATTGGTATCTTTCATATATATAGTTCATGATGAGAATGGGAGCTTACAGTTTTTATGCAAGTATAGGTAGTCCTCAATTTACAATAGTTTATCTAGTGACCGTTCAAACAACGGCACTGAAAAAAAGTGACTTATGACCATCTTTCACACTTTTAGGATCATTGCAGCATCTCCATGATCACGTGAACAAAATTCAGCTGCTTGGCAATTGGCTCATATTTATGACTGTTGCAGTGTCCCGGGGACACATGATCAGCTTTTGCACCCTTCTGACAAGCAAAGTCAATGGGGGGGGGGGATCCAAATTCACTTAACAACTGGGTAACTAATTTAACAACAACAATTCACTTAACAACAGTTGCAAGAAAGGTTGTGAAATGGGGCAAAACTCACTTAACACATGTTTCACTTAGCAACATAAATGTTGGATTCAATTGTGGTTGTAACTTGAGGACTATCTGTATAGGAAAGAAGCACACTGGATCTTCTTTTTCTCACATCAGTCTAGTATATCCTAACATGGATTGGAACACTGTGTAAACATGACTCATGTTTTACTGGCCATTCCTCAACTGATTCATATGCTTATTTATGAAGTTTATACTAGAAAATTTTCTATAATGGGCTTCATATCCCTTTGGGAAGAAATTCAAATAATTCAACTCTTCCAAGACTTGATTTGCTCAGTATGAATAAAGTTTGCCTATGGTACATCTAACAGCTTTTCTGCAATTAGGAAATGGGAAGTTCTTAAATGGTTTCATGTTGTAGCTAAGACAGTGTTTTTTAAATTGCAAAATGATTTTGTTTGTGACCCTAACAGTTGCACACCATAAAAATACACTGCAGGCAGCAGTCCTTTCCTTCAGAGTGCCACAGAAGAACAAACTCTTCCTGATTAAAATGTACTCCAACACGGTTAGATGTAGGGAATCATGCCATCTCTTGAATAAGGAAAGGTTAGAGATGTAGCAATAGGAAAGCTTGTGCTTTTCAATTCCTGGCAAACCCAGGTAATGACCCTTTTGAGAATCACAGTTTATAAATGCAGACAGTACTAAACCAAATAAGCTAGCACAGCTTTCTGTGTTTTTAATGCCATTCATTCTCTACTAGTATGTTTCTGGCTCATAAACTGGATGCATTTGAAAGCCAGTTAATTTCTCAGTTCTCATGTTGTTTTACAGAAGGACAATAAAAGCTCTTTTAAAAGCTATTGGCCAGAGAGACAGTATTTTACAATATAAAAGCAGCAGGATCATGAAGATGACCACATCTCATTACAAGATGCTGCCTGAGGTGTTTGAAAAGGGTCCCTGGGTCCCTGGAGGTCCATCAGTGCCTTCAAGAAGAAAAGTAAAAATGTTGCCGCTGTGACAATGAAATATAAATCCATTGTTAGCCTTGGTAGTGGTGGGCTAATAAT